TGATGCAAGACAAATGCGACAATACCTGACTCATTCCTGATACACCTCCTAAGAGCATCTCCAAGATGAAAATGCTACAGAAACCTGCTTCATTTTTTCACTTTATGATTTCAAGCCTTTTCTTTTTGTCCCATTTGCCATGTACACTGAGACTGAATTGCTTCCTTCAGCTCAGTCTTGCATAGTGGATTGTGATCATGTAACTTTTTCTTTTCCTATCTTAACATAAGCATCCCCAACACCATCAATCTTTGCTCATGACTCCTGCTCCCAAGGCTCTGATGGTTCTCTCTGCTCCCTCTGTACTTCTAGGAAGTCCACATTTTCTAGCAGCTTCTGGTAAATGGGAGCTTGTTGGGTTGGCAGCTGTAGACACTTCCTGCAGAATTTCAAAGTCAATTACAGCCACTGTCCACTTATCTAGGAATGAAATGTCTCAACAGATTGTTACCAGATTGTTACCACAGCTGGAGGAAAATCAGAGACCCTCTTTTGAAGAGCTGATCTCCACAAGAGGTAAACACATAACTTGGTCCTGAGGTGTTCAGTAAAGGGACACAGTAAGCATGTGATGTGGTCAGACACCTTTTTACAGGACAAGGTGAAACCACCAACTATTTCTACATAACTCCCCCAATCCTTAACAGATGTCGATAATAACATCATGTATAATAGCACGTAAAATGGTGGCTGGATCTGAACTGTCTATTGAGTGGTAAAGGGCTCTTAAATTCACTAGCATTCATGTGAGTTATATACTCCTAATGAGCTGTTTTCTCCAAAAGGCGCTTTTCATTTAAAAAAAAAAGAAATATCTGAAAAAAACCTAAATCCCCATTAGCCTCACCAGCTTCGCTTCATTTTAACTGTGGCATTTTGATACAAGTGTATGGTGGAATAATTATCTTATAGATGGCACTAGATATTTAGTTATTAAAAACAGTATGAAATCCCTGGCGTTATTTTTAAAATGCATAGTTATTTTTGTAGATCTACAATAGCCTCTGGAAAAAAAAAAAGATCCTCAAAAGCTTTTTTTTTTTTTGTGCTAGGATCATGTAAGAGAAAGTGGAGCCCTAGGGTTTAATTCCTATCAATCAACAAAATGAGTTTCACACTACTCCTGTCCAGAGAAGCTAACATACACAACACCACAGGTCATCAGAGAGGAGCTTAAAATAAATCCAGGAGTGGGTGAGTATTGCTACATTTTGCCATCCCCTGTATTGTTCTTCTATTTTTATAAAGCTCCAATTACTGAAGTAATTATTAGAGACACTGGAGTTGTTTTACCAATCCTCACACCTTTCATCGAACTCAGGCAGCTCTGAATAGCTGTTCAAACAAACAGGGCTGTCCCTTGGAAACATTTTACTGCTGTTATGGGCCCTGGATGTTCCCCAGAACAGGGAATTATTTGGGCAGGTTTTTAAACAGAGGACAAATAAAAAGTAGATGTCTTTAGAAATACAGGCCTCCGAGGCATCTCAGGTTTCCCCCTCTGGAGCGAGCACAGAAGACTGCTTATCTTGGCTGCAAAACAGATGGATGTATTCGGCCGAAAGACTCACTATAGCTGACAGAGAACATTTCCTTCATTGTATTGCTTCACCATGCAAGGAGATAACTCAGGCTAATAATATTCTGTCTGCTTTTTATCCTCATATAGCCTATGCATAACTTAATTCTTAATTGCAAAGGGCTCACAGAGGAGATTGGCCTGGTGTTAGTTTCATTTACACACATATAAATCAAAACTCAAGTCTATTGGAATAGATGGTACTGCACTGGTGTTAAAAAATAACATCCTTAGTGAGGCCAGAAAATTCCCCCTCAGCTTCCCTGATGATAAACACCATGTTATCCTAGATTCAGTCACGCCCTCCAAATTTCTAAACATCACTGCCTATTTAAATTTGCATGTAAATAGGAGCTATCCTGATTTACAAGAAATACAGCTTCACCTATCCAGAAAGCATTAACGTAAACGTAAAACAAGCAGAAAATGACAAAGTGGTAGGAACCTGGCCTCTGTGGCAATTATCTTTAAATCTAATGAACAGCATCTCCATTTCTTAGTAACTAATTACAGTGGAACTGTTTGAAGAAAAGGACCTTGTGATATGCCTGGAAGAATCAGTGCACAGCACCGACCCAGGACCACATTTGTCCACGCTGTCAGACACCCACTTGCAACCTTCTCCTAGAACCCAGGACTGCAGGACTGGGCTTTTTAATCTTCCAGGAGCCTTACATCACCCCAGGTAGCATGTACTGCAAGGTTACCATTTTGGGATATGAATAAACCACATTCCTAGGTCTGATATCTTAACCACCAGGTGCGAATCCTCAGCCATATAGGAAACCCCACTGACTGCAGGCACCTGCCTGACCGTGACTCTCAGCTGCATGAAAGCACTCACTGTTCTGCTCTAACTCAAACACACATTGCTGCTTTCAGAAAACCCACATTATTATTCAAGTTTTGGAAAAGAAATTGCGGGAAGTCAGATCAGAATCTTTGAAAACTGCTAGCAAGGCCCTGGTTTCACTCACACTAATCTATCATCATATTTCATCACCAATCTCATACCTGCCCAAAGCGCCCCACCGATACACCACCTCTGCCACTTCCATTAAGATATAAAACAAGGGTTAAGTGATAGATAGTATCAGTGTGGATAGCAGTATGTCTCACTCAGGAACCACTGCACTGGGAATAAAAAGAGAATTACTATACTGGTGTCAATATGATAAATTACAGTCTCTTTTTTCCTAAGGAAGAACTTCCAGTTTTTTAACTAGCACAGAAAACTCTCCCCCTTTCAACACTCTGAACATCAGAGCAGTTTCTTCTAACATCTTATTCAGAGTCTCTGCTAATGAAACTGTTTATTTGGGTGGATGGCTGATGTAGTTACTCACTACAGCACTCATCTTGGAACAAGCATGAACAAGGAGCCAGCTGGGGAATTCAAACCTTTCCTTCCATATATTTGTTTCCAAAAAGTAAATGGGTTTGAAAGCACTGCCAGTTGCCCTTGTTGAAGCGAACAAAATGTTTAGGGAAAATGAGTTCTCAGTGTTTTCTCACACTGCACAGGTCACACAATCCCGCATGCCAAACCCACAAAGTCTGTGGTCATGCTTCCCTCCTACAGCACTGAGTTCACAGCTGTGGCACCACACAAAGCAGGACTTGGAGGAACCAAAATAAGTCACCTCGTAATTCATTATCCCCTCTCACTAATATTTATACCTGTGCCAGAGGTTTGCCTATAGAGCTATGGAGGAATTTAAGAAGAAATCGGATTACTTACTATAGGACTACTGTGAGTCCATTAGAAATATTTTCCTCATGTCCAGCCTAAGCTTCCCTTGCTTTGGTGTAACATTTTTATTTCTTGTCCCAGCTCTATGAATCTTTTTGCAGCATCACAAAATGCTTTCAAGGACCTTTGTCACTCTCTTCTCTAGGCTGAGCCACCTCTACTCTTTTAATCATTCCTTTATAGGGTGCTTTTTCTAGACTTCTGTTCACTCTTGCTGATTTCTGCTCCACACACCTCCATGTGTAGTATCCCAATCAGGAGACAGTACTCTGGTTAATGTCTCCACAGAACCAGTCTGCAAGGAGCCTTGAGAAACTGGTGGAAGTGCTTCATGAGTAGCCAGTCTCACAGTGTTTGGCATATTTTTATGATGGGAGGTTGTGCTGTAGAGGAAGGAATGTTCTCTGATATAACCAGAGATGCCCATCAAAAGCTTCAAACATCAGGACAGAACAAGGCTTTGCAGTGGGGACCAGAAGGGGGAAATTTTTTCTAGTGTTTCTAGAGAGAAAAGCAACTGGGTCTTGCATTAGCTCCTTCAGCATGCTCCTCTGTCCCCCAGCTTCTGCATCATCAAAGAAAATCATTGCTGGATTGATTCAGAGTGAGGCAACTAAAAGCAGCATCAAAGATTGAGCTAATCGATTTATTTGTGTGAAGGTGGGGAACAGAAGGGCTTTTTCTTGCAATTGCTGCCACCTCCATGAGGGAAGAAAAATTAATAGAAAAGGCTGACATGTTAGAAGGTAATTTTTGCAACTGCTTGCAACCCCAACCAATGGTATCTTTTTGTATTTGTGACCATGCAAAATAAAGATAAGATAGAAGGAAGCAGTTTCATTACTGCAGCAGCCTGATGGGGACTGTAAAGCCCTGGGACATGCACTCCCAGGGAGTGACCTACTGCTCTCTCAGCCCCACAGCACGCCTGTAGTCTCTCTCACAATATGGCTGAAAATAGAGGTGGCTAGAGGGGAAAAAAGGGGAGTGATGGGAAAACCAAACCAATACAGCTTATTAGTAAAACCTTGATGAGCAGAAGTCTAACACAGCAAAAAATGCATTGCCAGAGGACTTGTGACATACAGGAAAGAAGCACTGGCAGATCTGGCACATGCAGCTGTGTTTGCCCCTTGCTCTCATATTCCTTCCCGAGCCTTGAGAGAGCTCTGGGAAGTGCTGGAGCAGGAAGATCATCCTCTTCACATGGGGCAAGCTCTCCTTGCCAGCCACTACAGCCCCCTACCCCAGCTCTCCAGAACCTCCCACAAGGCATTAAAAGGCAACAGCACACAGCACGCTTTCTCCAGCTTAATATATAGCTTAATATTTCTCCATCTTAAATATAGCTCCAGCTATATTTAACTGCAGGCCTCTAAGCACTCTCCTCCCTTTCCACTCCTTTAGAAGAGCCACATGGGGAATGAAAGCTGCTCCTCCTTTCTGTCATGAGCCTCAAGCCTGGGTTTGCTCACACTGCCTCCGCTCTGGGGCTCCTGCCTTGCTGCATGAGAGCATACACAGGAGGAGGAAGGGAACACTTTTGTTCCGCCGTCACAAGAACTGAAGGTACTAAATGTTAATACTTGGAAATCAGCAATTGCCAAGAACAAGTTCCCCACCCACCCATCCACCCTAAGCTTTGAAGTGTTTTCTTTCTAGCTTTACCTTGGCACGCTGGCCAAATAAGTCACAAGTTTCCGAAGGTCTTCCTGCCTTATTCTGTCGTGATTGCTGCGGGCTGGGAAGGTCAAGACAGGACCACCTCGTTTATCACGGCCACCTGCGGAAAATAAAGGATTGTTAGAAAATCAGGCGGGAAGCACATGTCAAAAAAACTATGTGCGCTGAATTGATAAACATAGATTGCAGCACAATCAAGAGCCCATGCACTCTCTGCAGCTTTCAGGCTTGCCTCATTGAGGAAGACATGCTTGCCTTTGCTGGAGCTCAGAAGGGGGGAAAATGAAAAGCTTAAAAACCAAAACAAACAAAAAAGCCCCAAGAACAAACAAGGAGAATTGCTAGCAGCATTTCTTCTGACTTTTGTCTAATCCCATCAAATCTAGTACAACTGCCAATCCAAGCACGCAATGTTAATGAAATCCTACTGTGGGGATAGTTTGAAACTAGTCAACACCAAGAAAGTGAAAGTATTTTCACTGTTACTCAGCCTATTGCATCGCTCATTGACAGATAATTTACGATGTCCTGCCAGTTAGCAGTCATATGTCCTAATCTATCTGGCAATTCATTAGGAATTGAAAATTTGATTAGGAGTTCATGCCTCCTGTGCTTTCTATTTAGAGTGTTGTTGGCAATTAGAATGGCTTTTGGTTTGTTTGGGTTTGTTGTTCTTTTTTCCCTGTAGCTTTCCTGTCTTAAAATTCACTCCTTTTAAACTGCCAGTGTCTAGCACTTCATCTTTTACAGCAAAAGGCTCAACCATAAACAAATGACTCTATCCTCAATTATACAATCACAAATACAGGCATGAATACAATCTATTCTACAGCACTTTATTTTATTCTCGGCTGTGAACAAAGTTTAACAAGCTTGAAACGGGAATCCAGTGCCTCACTTAACATTTAGTTCTTTCTTCTCATACTAGCACAGGATTTTTTCAGGAACTGTGTGTTGTTAGATACACATTTGTATTGTTATCTAGGAAAAAGTCACAGCAAAACTACAGTTCAAAAAGCTAGCACAGAACTGCAAGGTCCTTGCAAATCAACTGTAAAAATGCAGATGAGTTTGTGTTTTTCAATGGAAAGCATAATCCCTTTAACAGAAATATCACTTCTGAGAATGGAAAACAGTGTGCTTCGCTGAACTAATTAACCTGGCCAACAAGAAGAAAAAGCTACACAAGGACATACAGATAGAATCATAGAATCATAGAACAGTTAGGGTCGGAAAGGACCTTAAGATCATCAAGTTCTAACCCCCCTGTCATGGGCAGGGACACCTCACACCAAACCATATCACCCAAGGCCTTGTCCAACCTGGTGATCCACAGTGCACTTCATCATGCAGAACACAGGATGCCCATGCTATGTGGGGCATGACTTTTGTATGGGTCCTAAAAAGCAAAAGCCTAATTCAGTAGGAAGAGTCAAAGAGACTCTGCTGTAACAGCTGGATCAATGTGAGAGCACAGTATCCTGGATCACCACAGGACAAAGAATTGCTCTAGGCAGAATTTACATCAGGAATCAAGGAACTGCTTCATATGGCAGGAGTTCCTGCAGGTGGACAAGCCAGAAACCAAAGTGAAGAGATACAAGCATGAACCCCAAGGCACAGGTTTTCCAGCTGGCCCTGCTTGCAGAACAAAGACACCACTTGTAGATTCAGCTCTCATCTGACAACATACCCCTTTGTCCATTTTATTCTGAAACTGTCCATTCAGTTGATGCCACGATAGGTAGAAGCTTACCTTCTAGCACAAACCGTCTGTGTCTCCGCATGACCAGAGTTACAGAGAAGCAGCTAAAAGTAGCAAAGTTTTACCTGATACTATTTTTTTTTTCTACATCCTGTCTACATCCAGGCACAGCTACAGGTTGGGCAGAGAAGAGATTCAGAGCAGCCCTGCGGAGAAGGACTTGGGGGTGCTGGTTGATGAGAAAATGAACATGAGCCAGCTTCAGTGTGAGCTTGCAGCCCAGAAAGCCAACCGTATCCTGGGCTGCATCAAAAGGAGCGTGACCAGCAGGTCCAAGGAGGTGATCCTGCCCCTCTACTCTGCTCTTGTGAGGCCTCACCTGGAGTATTGTGTGCAGTTCTGGTGTCCTCAACATAAAAAGGACATGGAACCATGGAACTGTTGGAACAAGTCCAGAGGAGGGCCACAAGGATGATCAGGGGACTGAAACACCTCCCCTATGAAGACAGGCTGAGAAAGTTGAGGCTGTTCAGCTTGGAGAAGAGAACGCTGCGTGGAGACCTCATAGCAGCCTTCCAGTATCTGAAGGGGGGCTATAGGGATGCTGGGGAGGGACTCTTCATTAGAGACTGTAGTGATAGGACAAGGGGTAATGGGTTCAAACTTAAACAGGGGAAGTTTAGATTGGATATAAGGAAGAAGTTCTTTACTGTAAGGGTGGTGAGGCACTGGAATGGGTTGCCCAGAGAAGCTGTGAATGCTCCATCCCTGGTGGTGTTCAAGGCCAGGTTGCAGAGAGCCTTGGGTGACATGGTTTAGTGTGAGGTGTCCCTGTCTATGGCAGGGGGGTGGAACTAGATGATCTTAAGGTCCTTTCCAACCCTAACTGCTCTATGATTCTATAGAGCTTTCTACAGCACTGGAGACTGTACAAATCAAAGTCCATTACATAAACTTCATCTATATGGATAGAGCTGCCAGTGTTACCCTGCATTACAGTACATCAACACTGAAATTCCCATAGTTTACAATGGATGCTGTATACCTTAAGGGCAACACTATGCAACTATTCATTGGAGCCAAGTCATGTCTGATTTGTCCAGGGGTAAAAACAGAGAGGCAAACAAGAGATGTCATCTTCATTCTGAGCCCTCATACAGCCAGGGGTACACATGGAATACAAAACCTGTCCTGCCTAATCTCCACCCAGATCTCTGTGCCTGGTATTTGCCTTTGCCTTCACACCTTGAAGGTGAGAATGTCCAGTGTCACCTTGGCTGATCCATTCCTCTACCAAAGCATGAGAATGGGGGAAGGGAGGGTAATTTAACAAGGATTCAATTCACAAGGAAGTAGGCTAATTTTTATTTTCAGACCTATAAAAAAAGTCCTCATTTTAAGCACATTCTCCCTTTGTTGAGATTATTTCATGCACCATAACAATGCCAAAACCATTATATGATGTGTGATGTGTCCAACAGAAAAGCAAGCCAGCCTATAGAATGGCAAACCGATGCAGCAAACCGATGTAGCAACTGAAGCTGGAGAGAAATATTTTTTCAACACAGGAAGCTTTTCAAGGTTTTGAAAAATCTCCCATCGTATCACGATGTAACCAAGGCTTTCAAAAGCTTCCAAATATTCACTGAAGCAGAGACCTGAACTTGAATTGCATCCCAGAAGAACATGCTACCCACTATTCAGTCGGGCTTTCTCTCCTCCTCTGTTCCCAAGTATTTAAGTATCTCTACAAGGTGGAAAAGCACTAAGAGATGAGATCAGGAGACATCCAAGCCCAGAGTTAAAATCCTCTGCCAGTATATGAAACACCTGGGAAGGGCCATGAGTTTCACACAGCCCTGATCACTCTCATGCTGCCCATCTGCCTCAGCTCAGTAAACCAAAACCTGTGTTTCTGGCTAGGGACCCCTTTCCCACCCACAGTTCCACAGTGAGCCCTGGACCCCCTCTCACCACCCCCCAAAAAAAAACAACCCAAATCACCACCACCACCAAAATGCTCCAACCTCCCCCATACTCCCTGCAAACAAACTAAATTCTGGTAGGCTGAAAAAGTTAAATCAGAAATTTCTTGACCCTATTACTAACAATGGCACAAGGATTTCAGCTACAGGAAAGGAAACAGGGTCCAGAACATTCCTGTCCTGTCTCTGCTTCAGGATAAAAATTATCCCTCACTAATTCACCTAAAATGTCCACAGGGAAGCAGAATAAATGAGGCTGTACTGCAGAGTCAGAAGTCACCAGGACGGACTGGAGAAAATGGGTTAATTCTTGTTTAAGGAGAAAGGTTACAGGATGACCCAGTTGGAGGTTTCTGGATGATGGAATGATAAATAAATAACTGGACTGACTCCTTCTAGTCCTATTGCACGGAAGAACAAGGAGACAGGGGGCAAATCTCAAGAAATATGAGGTTTACTAACAAACGTTTCTCATTTGTGATAAAAGTACTGCTCTATGCTGTGAGCAATAGGGTGAAATTATTATTACAAGTGCATCATACAAATTAAAATCCTTCGCTTGTTTCCAAACTATTCAATTCAATTCAATCCAAATTATTGAGCAATCCCTATTTTTTATGAATGCCTGCATAATTTACAGTTTTATGAAGAGCCTATATGGAGTAACATCAAATTTCGTCCAGAACAAACCATGGTATGTTTAATTCACCGTAAGACTTTTCCAGAGTTCAGTAACTAAATACTAATAATATGTACCTTTTCCACTGCACTTTCTAACCACAAATCTCAGCTTTTCTAGGCAGACCAAATGAGATAATATCACCACTGGATTTTAGACACTTAATATGCCTATATTTGGACTTTCATCCCTTCTAATGTAGACTTCAGACAGGTAGAAATATCCACTAAAAAAGAAGAAAATCTTTTGGCATTGGCTGTATAGGGAGTCTATGCCATTCCCCCTCTTTATTATTATCTCCTTTTTTACTGAGAAGAATAGAGAGGTACAGAGAGGGGAAGAAATTCAGCCCAGATCCCACAGAAAGTCACTTAAGACCCAGGAACAGAAATGAGGTTTTCTGTTAGTCCACTGTGTTAGAGCTTCACTGTGCTAAAAGTTAGCAACTGAAAACATTACAGAAACTCTGCCTCTAGTTGTTAGTAATTCACCCAAGGAGGCTAATTTAGCCCCAAGTCAGCCACGATCTCAACATCAATTTTACATGCAGTGTCTTTAGAGAACTATCCAGCATATTGTTTTGAAAGAAAATAAAAAAATGGAAGAGTCTCAATTGCTCTAATCAATAGGTCCCATCTCTTGCCTCCCACTGAGCTCACAGACATGGGATGCAATAATCAAACATGTCATTATGTTTGTTAATTACAGTTATTAAATGTTAAAACAAACAG